GGAATATTCACGCCACCGTCCAATGGCTGAAGAGTTTGCTTCGCATCAAATTGTAACCGTTTGGAGGAAGAGGTCTTGGTACTCCGCCGATAAGTGTGTTTGGGCAATACAGCTCAGCAATTGGATGGACAAGCGCCACAAAGAAATCCTCATAGTTCATGTTTGGGCCACATACACTACCAAGCAAAAAAACTCTCCATATAGAGAACCCTTAATGAAGATGACTCCACCTTCTGTGTCTTTAAATGCATCCAAAGCTGTGAAAGCAAGATTTTTATGTATTAAAATTATGACTCCCCCTCCCCCCTCCACACACACACACACACACCCTTTTATTTGTTGCGTATGAAAAAACACATTTCATGAAAGCAAGAAACGTCAGAGAAAACGAGGTAGAAATGAACCCGTGTGTGTGTGTGTGTTTTTTTTTTTTTTGCTTATGACGTGAGCATACTAATGTGAAAATTTTCCAGCTGAGTTTGTGTCTGGAAATGAAGCCGTTCTGTAAACCGATTTTGAGCCCCTGGAGGCGTCAGTGCAATAACAGCAATCTCTGTGAAGGTAGATGGAGTAATGAAATGGCCCGGTCCACTGCTATGGTGGAAATTTACTTGCCTTGCTTCCCATTTCCCACACAGACAAATGCACACACACACTTTGGCACAAAGACATAAATTTAAAAGTACACAAAGACGGGTGTAAACAAACAGAACCCAGTGTTCTTCCCATTCTGACTGAACACCTGGGAAATTAATCTCTGTCAGTGGTGCACTGCACAGACCTTATCAAACCATGTTAATACTGGATTTTATTTTTCTTTTTAGTTCTGCGTGCATAAGAGCAGAATTATAGCCGCACATTCCAAACAATCTACCCGTTGTGTCCCATTCTGTACCCAGAGCTGTTTGACTTTCTGGTCCCTGCAAAACTCATCAAGCTTTACTTGGAAGTGCTTTATATTTTTACAATGCACATCAGATTCTGAGACACAATTCGTTTCTTGAGAAAGTAAGCTGAAATGATGTGCTCAGAATGCAGTTCTGCAGTCAGTTAACTCCTTGCTCCACTTAGATTAATGTCAATGGCCTTGTCTTTCTCTGAAAAGGAAATGAACGCTTTTTTTTTTTCAAAGAAGGGGAAATATGGTTAATGGACTTTTAATAGCAGGCACTTGAACTGTCCTTGCTCTGTGAAAAACCTAACCTGAGGAACACTTACTGTGCGTCTTTGCTTTCACATAGGCCTTAATGAATCTTTGCCTCAAAGAATTCAATCAGTTCTAAGGGGATGACAGAGTTTGAATTCAGATTTTACCTCTTGAGCTTGAAGCTTTGCCCCACCCCCTCCCATCCCACCAGCCCGGGTTTACTAAGCAACTTTTGGTTTTGCGCCTTTAACGGATATCTCTCTCACAGTTGTTTTGTTCTGTCTTCAAGATTTATCTTCTTACAAAAGTGTAAACAATCCTCATAAAACAGCCCTGTCTGTGCTGTTGTACAGGCAATGAGGGCAGGGGTGAATTTTTACAGTAATTACTAACTCTGTTTGACTTCCGCCCATAATACCAGCTCAGCAAAACACTGTGTCCTGTTACTACACAGATGGGCGGAAAAATGACTGTTGACAGACAGATGCTAATAAACCGGTTATGCTTGGTTTGGATGAATAGCCAGTTTGGCACCGGTAAAAACATGCTTGCCACTGACTCAGATGTAACAGGGGTGGGTGCTTCACTTACATGGGAATCGAGAGCATGTGAAATCAGACTCATGCATGCAGAAAAGACTTGCACATATATTTGTTTTGCACTGCCGCTCTCCGACGGTAGAAAGTCAACCAGATGACACGCATGTCACCTGTACGTGTTTAAAACGTGTGACCATTAGTTGAGCAAATGACCTTCTCCCACGTATTTCCACCACAAGGCTTGCAGTAAACTGCAACTCGGACTTCTGATCCGAATGGCTTTCTGAAGTCAAATGTCAGATTATACGTGTCAACAGATTCTCCCACCCGAGCCGTTGAGCTCCGTAGCTCCGCAAGAGTTGCTCCAAGTGAGTTATAGACCTGAGTTACGCGCCATGGGGGTCATTCAAGTAACTCCGCCTCCTCCAAAAAGAAAAAAAGAGGAACGATTGTACATATGAAGCTCTCTGGAACATATCCTATACAACACACTTTTCCTCTCGCCCATAAAGCAATTAGGCAAACGGAAGGAGAGCAATACAAACAGAGAGGCAGGATAACAGAGTGTGGGATGTCGCTGCAGGGCTGTAATGAAAGTAAAAAACACAAGTAGGCAAACAGAAAAAGCCACACATGACCCCTTCCACAGTAGTTTCTGTGCCCATTACCAGTTTTTTCCAGCCAAGTCTAATTCGGACGGTGACACTGATTCCAGCGCAGACCACGTGCGGCCTGGTCTTCCCTGGTCCCCAAGGGCACATCTTGTGCATCATATCCTCACTGAGGAAGCAGTACAAAGTGTACTGTTGAATGTCCAGCAGGAGTGCATTCTCACGAGGGAAGTTCTTGTTTCAGTCCAGTTCGGCTTTGTTGCTCCGCTGATGCTTTTGACCAGCGGTGGCCGAGTTCTGCAGGAAATGCATGGCAGTACGCGTGTGATTACGCCTCTTACCTCAACCTAATTGCCTTTACCTCTGACCAGGGGGTTTGACCCCCGGCTGCTTTCAGAGCACTCCAGGTTTGAGGCAAGACAGAAATCAGGACTGGGGCAAAACAATTTGTTTTTTTTTAAGTTTTGGACGTGTGAGACTGTATCAGGTAGCGATGAACATTTTAAAGCAAGCAGGTTAATGTCACGGATATGATCCAAGTGGTCCAGTAGTGGTGTGTTTGGGTTTTGGACATGTACCACTATGTTTTGAAAGTAGTCAAAGCTCTTGTTATTCCCACATCCTGCTTTGAATCTTGCCTGGTTAATTCAGACAGCAGCTGCAACAAGAGTCCGTGTTTAATCCTGTTTGACACAAAGTCTTGTGCTTTTCACATTGCGTTTAAGTTGCACAGCAGAGTGACTGCTGAAGCTCAGCAAAAGGCAGCGGTTTTTGGATTTTGCCTGCTCAGCATTGACCCGACGTTTACACTGAAGAAGCGTCTTTCAATGGCTGACTGTTTGCTGGCTGTTACGCAACCGATCTTTGACAATAAGAGCATGACCGCTGGAAGGGCGATCAGCTGGAACGCTCTGGACCAGTTCATCCTCAGAGGCTTCCAGCGGCTGAGCGATAGCTGATCCATTAGATGGGTTAACTACCTTCGAAAGTACACCACGGACATTCATTGGGTCACAAACAGGATGGAAGAGCTTTTATCAGCGACAGAGGAGTCGTGTTTGTGAGCTTGCAGCTTCCTGAACTCTTTGCCCTTCGCTTTTCCGACAGTCCACAGTCCAAACTGAGATGAACCAGCGCTATTTTAAGAATAAAGGTGTAACTCTTTGCTTTTGCTGAACAACAAGCTAAATTACTCTTTACTGTGATGCAAAATAACGCATCAGGATCTTCATTTGTTTGCCCCCACGATGCCTGGAAAACGTTTTATCAAGGTGAACGTGCTGAGGGGGGCAGAAGAAAAAAGAAGGAAGAAAAAAAAAGGAAGGGCGCAAGAAAAGACACAAGAATAAGCCTTATCAATCATGAGCACAATATACTGATGCATTTACCAAAACCAATGGAGAATGTTAAGCAACGACCACTAAATGCAGAGGGTGAATGTGCCCCATCACATCTGAACTCTCCCACCACCCCACCATGCTGGGAGGTGAAACTCTGAGGGGCGGCGAAGTTTCCTAACATCTGTCCAAACTGTGTTATCTGTTGTTCATTTTGGTTCACCCTGTCAAAACAAGCAAGAAGGCAAAAGAGGTGGGGACTCTGTTGAAATTATTTTCCATGCAAAATCGTCTATTGCTCCAAAAAAATAACATTGATGTTCAGAGTTTCAAACCTGTGCACTCCATCCACTCGCATCACATGTGCTGATGTGAACATGCTAAATTAAAAAAATAAATCCATGCAGCAGGTACGTCTAGTGGGGCAGGTCTAACTGAAAACGACTTGGATTTTCTAAATACTTTATATTTGATTTAATAGTTTAGAGTAGGAAAGCGTTCCATATGACAGAAGCTTTAAGAGTGCACTTCTTCTTTTTTTTTTTTTTGGTGCCAATATGTTTTTTCTCAGCGTAGATCGTTGTGAAATGCTAAAAAAAAAAAAAAAAAAAAAACAGTCTTGCGTTCTGGTTGCCCCGGTCACTATGATTCAGAGGAATGAGTGGCGTCCCTCACTTCCTTCTGCTGTCCAGGATGACCCTCCAGTCATCAGACCAAAGATCCTGAGGTTTTCTACAACATGTTAATCAACACTATAAAAACAAATTTTTGGGGGGGCAATCAGGGGCTTGAGATGGATAAAGAACACAAGGAAGGTAGTTCAGAATAAAGAAAAGACAGGGAAGGTAGTAACTGTATGAGGAACAGAAGAAAGAGCAACATTTGACGACGACAGGGGAAAAGGTGTGAAAACACAAAACAAATGTTCATACTCTGAAATTTCTGACATCAAATTGAATCCCTGAAGAACCTTGAGGACTATGCATTGACTCATTTACCAAAACACATGAAGAGATTGTTGTAGAATAATTTAAGCAACTAATACCAAATACAAGGTATTAGTTTAGGTTTTACTCTGAGAGCGGTAAAATTCATGTAGCTGGAACAATAAAGTAGAAGAAAAAAAAACAGTATGGAAAATTGTTTAAATGAATCCATCAAGTTACGTTCTATGGACTGATGAAGGAAATGACGACAGCGAGGACGGAGAGGTGTGCCACATCACGTCTGAACTCTCCCACCACCCCGCCATGCTGGGAGGTGAAACTCTGAGGGGCGGCGAAGTTTCCTAACATCTGTCCAAACCGTCTGCCTTGACGTTTGTTTCAGCAGGGCAAAACAGAAATGCACAGCAGGGAAAGAAAAAGACGTGGTAAAGTGACCTTTATTTATTTTTTTACTGGCTGCAGGTGGGCAAAACAATGCGGTAAAACAGAAGAGACAGAAACCGATTTGAAGTGGGAGATCGAACCAGGCACAAACCTAACGGGTATATTTCCTCAAAACGTTGACGACGGAGAGCAACAAGCTCCTCCGAACAGCGAAGCGAAAAAAGGTTTGTGTCGCTTTGCGGCAGCTTCGTTCTGAAATGTTTTGAGACTCAAAAATCGTCTTACTTGAATAAATCTAACACTTTGGAGTTAGGGCAAGGCTTCTGCCCTCTAGCCTCCATCTACTCTGATGTGCGAATGTAAACACACTACAGTATAAAAATACACACAGGACATCTCATGTGGAACATTTAACTGAAAAATGACTGGGAATTTCTAACTATTCTATTTTATGTAATAGATTGGAATAGGAAAACTTTTCAAAGAACAGAAGTTTTGAGTGGCTGTTTTTGTTCGTGTGGTTTTTTTTTTGGCAACATGTATGTGCGAGTACGTTTTCCCTCAGTCAGTGAGGTGAGATGCATAGATCATTGTGAAATGCTGAAGAAAAAATTAAAATAAGAGCACCAAAGTTGTCATTTTTAAATAGAATAAAAACAAAACTTTCCTCCACATCATCTGCCTTTCCAGTGGTGGTCAGAAGTTTACATACCTTCATCTCTGGCATCGATTTTATGCTCATTTAGGGCTTTCAGTGACAAATTTTCAACATTCTTCTTTTTTTGGTCGAAGTTTGATTTTATTATGGATTTTCTCAAATGTTGGAACAACTGTTGGTATTAATCTCTTAACCACCTAATTGTGGATTTGAGGTCAATATGAAAAATTTGAAAAACTTGGAGAAGCAGACGCTCAACCTCAATCAGATGAGTCTTTTTTTTTTTGTTTGTTTTCTTAATTTATGGAGGATATCAAAAAACCAGGTCCGGGGTGCCAAACTTTTCATTTCTTTTTCTATACGGTCATATTTAAATGTAACTTTAAAAGTAAAACATGCATGCCAGTGACGAGTGGATGTAAATTTCTGTACGTTACAGTGGCGTTTCACTTAAGTAGAGGTAAAATAAGTACCAACAATAACCGTTAACGTAATCCCAGCTCTGATGTCACACTCCAGCTCTTATGGCTCTGCTTGTTCATTTTCCTGGGTGGTGGAGTGCCCTGATGTTTGTGTGGGAATCACAGTGCATGGACACTTTTATGGGACAGGCCTTTTGTAATGAGGATATGAATAAACCACTACAGTAGGCCAAAAACAAAACCAGATGGATTCTGAGCAGAAAGGTCCAAATTTAGAAACCACAGGAGGGCAATACCAACAACTTCCATCAATGCGGTCTGGCCCTGTTAAAAAAACGACATGCGGTTATTTAGAGTTGCTCAGTGGAAGTGTGGTTGGCCTGTGTCATGCTGCCCTCTAGTGGTGAAATTAGTGAACTTTCTCTTCTCTCCCAACAACTCCACAGTTTTCTTCAGAAACAAGGGAAGGAAATGCTGGTCAATTGACATTGTTGCGTGGGACGATCAGTCTTGCGTTCCGGTTGCCCCGGTTACTATGATGCAGAGGACTGAGTGGCGTCCCTCACTTCCTTTTGCTGTCCAGGATGCCCCTCCAGTCATCAGACCAAGACAGGAGCCGTCTCTGGGAGGGACCGATGGACAGATGCTTGTTGTGGCAGGCGGTGAACAGGATGTGTTCCCAGGCTGGTCTGGACTCCACACCTGACCAAGACACAAAAGATTATGTTACCCATCACTCGTGTTTTAACTAGGAGGAGCATCCAGAAAGTTGTTTCAGAGCAACTACAGTCGAACACGAGCAGGACACATATGGAACATGTGTTGCAAACGCTAATTCACATGGGTTTCATACACCAGACCAAGTTAAAATATACTGGTTGGTCAGGCTGTTTCCCCCTTAGTAAATAAAACCCTCCTATACAAGCTTGTTGTTTGTTTTTGCTCAGGCTGACATTACGTATACTTTTTCAAAGCGTTGCTCAGTCTAAGAGCTATTGGATGCAAGTCCATAAAGCCCACCTTGAATGTCAGGCTTGTCGTCTATGAGGAGGTCACCGGCAATTAGGGTTTTATCTCTGGTCAGAATGACCTGCTCCAGAAAGTCGCAGCCTAAGTGCTTCTCCACCCAGGCGTACTGGAAAAACACACATGCGCAGGCACAAACACAAGCAAGGTGTCAGGTGTCAGAAACAAATCCCTTCAATGATCATCAAAGCAGAAGATTCCATGCTATTGATCAACAGGAAGCTCACCTTTTCATATGGGCAGTGTTTGTAATGTTTAATGGGGCTGGTGCAAAGAAAGACATCTGTGCTGCAGGGAGAGAAGGAAGCAACAAGAGCTCAGTGGGAGCGCATTCATTTCCTATTCCAGCTGCACATGCCACCCACAAAGCCCCTTCATTATGCTGGGAACAGGTGCAACAGTTCACATCAAGAGCTCAAACACATCCAGAGGGACCACTTTTGATAGAAATGTTCAATATCTAATGGCTGCCTAAGATGAGGTTGAGAGGAGGTGTCATCGACCTTCCTCAAAATCCCTCACCACCGAGGCAGAGATTATTTTTTTTAATAATGCGGTTGATGACTAAAAGAGACGCAAAGAGGACAGAGTTCTGTCTAAGAAAAACGTCAATGCCACTTATAATCTGCACGTAATACAAGAATGGACACTTTAATGTCGCCAAGTTATTTTATTGGTTATTTGGGAGATCTGTACAATTATTTGTGTATAGCAAAGAAGTACTCCCTCAGTGAGGTAACAGTACACCTACTTTCTGCCTAAGGACATCGCCATTGGCTTGACAAAGTTATCCTGGTATAAAAAATTGATTATTAACTTGTTTTTACTGCCCTCTTGTGGCCAAGTGTTAGATTCAAGTCTATTTATTAAATATGCAATGTGTCCTGTTTACCTGTGACAATAGAAACCTGTATCTAAGATGTCTCCCACTGCCTCATCATGTATACAAGTGCAAAAATTGACTCGAAGGGGCTGGGGGGACAAAATAAACATCTCACCAACAAATGTATGTTGAAACACCCAGCTCTGAGGCTACACTGAAACTTACTTAGTTTTGGAAACTTTCTGTGTTAGTTTCAATCTCAAAGGCACAAGACAATGTTGTTTACATGTGAAGGAATCTTTATCACACCACAAGCAGGTGTGCTTAAAAAACAAAGAACAGAATCAACTAAGTAATGACTAATTTGACTTGTGATATCACCCTCTATGCTGATGATGTATTGCTCTTTTTCCAAAATGGTCAATCTTTTCCTGTTGAGACAATTACACTTTTGGGAGTTTAGTCGTTTTGGTTTTCTTTTATGTCTGTCCTGGTGACTCTGTTTTTGGTTGATTTTGAGATTTGAACAAAGACCATAACCCATAAGAGGACAAAAAAATGCACAAAGGGTTTCTAAAAAGAAGCAAGAGTGTTTAGTGAAACAGAAAATGAATCAGTTGAAGGAATAACTTAATTTATGTATCAAAGCAAATGCTACAACTTCATCAGATTTAATAAAGTCCAAACAAAGTACATTGATGTGGATCATGTTGGTTGGTGGTTTTCATACTTTTGATGAAAGTGGAAAACAAGTAATAAAATAAAATAAAATCAGCATTTGAGGCAATGTTCAATCAAACCAGTCAAAGGCAAATTCACAGATGAACTGATGTAAAGTTTTCATACGGCAAGTATTCTGATTGTTCTTACTCATCCATCTTGGCCATTTCCTTCACCGCCTCCACTCCTCCAGGCAGAGGATCCAAATCTAAGAAGAAGTTTTTGGACTCCCAGATACTGATGGCTTTTTCCTGGAGACGTAAGAAAACAGTCAACCTACACTTGGTGGAGTACTGGAGTCACGTGTGTTTGCATTAGTGTCACTTGTACTGTAACAACAAGAAGGAACAAAGGTCGAGTTTGTTATCTACACGCTGTGAAAAAGTCTCAGCCCATCCAAAGTGTGGGACAGGCGTTCACATTTTACTGGATTTCACAAGATGCAACGTTTTTCAAAAAGCTCAGTGAAAAAAAAAGCTAATTCTACTTTTTGCATATTTGGGTTAATGACATCATGAGAGGAACGAGCGTCAACATGGTCAGTTGGCAGCAGTGAAGATTATGTAAAAGGACGAGAGACTTTTAACATATTTTGGTATTCTGAAGATTAATGGATGCTCTTCAGAGTTTTGAGCAATTCGACATATCCCTTCCTTCACTAGTTTGGCCAAGAACTTTTCACAAACTGCTTTCAAATGTTTCATTGTTAAAGGTTTTTTTTTTTTTACTGTTTTTCCAACTTTCCACTGCAGCCATACGGAATACAAGTAAACCAAAAGGGAAAAATATATTAAATATAAGGAAGAAATCTGGGGCCACCCGGAAAAAGAAATAATAATAAAAGACTTAAATCTCATAATTACGACTTTGTTTTCCCTTATAATTAAAGAATTTTTTCTGTCAAAATTCTAACTTTTTATCTTAAAATCTTATTCTGAAAATAAGGTTCTGAATTCCGAGGTTAAAATAATTCAACTTTTTTTTCAGTGGTGTCATTATCTTCCATATAAATGATATGAGCAAAGAAGAAGAAAAAAAATGATCAGAAATAAATTGGTGGCATTAATGTGCCTTGTGTGACGTAACCAGAGGCCAGAACTTGCTTTGGGGACAGAACATTTGAATTTTTGATTAAACAAGAATCGACAACGCCAAAAAATAAATAAAAAATAACTGACAATGGCACGTGACGAAACTATATCCAAAGCTATAGTTAGCTAGCTATAGTTGGGATAGCAGCTTTAATGTATCCCCGTTGAAACCAAATAACTGCCTCTATTAAAGCGTTCACTCACACAGAGGTCGGACCTGAGCTGCCCGTACTGCGACGACACCCAAAAGCCTCTCCTGTCGTCCAGGGTGATGAAGGGCTCCTCCGGGTACCTGGCCCTGTATTTCTTCAGGAAGCCCCCCTCGAAGTCCGCCAGCACTCCGTCCATGTCGACAAGGACCCGCAGCCTCTTACCGGCAGCGGAGGAGGACGACGACATGTTCACAGCGAGCCTCTTGAGTGGCTCAGGGAGCAAAGTTTTCCCTCTTCCCAGTAGGCGGGTTGCCCTCGCGCACAGCAACATCGCTGCCGCCGCCTCCGCCGCCAGCGACCGCTGAACCTCTGCGAACTCACTGCGCCTGGAACAAGCCGACAAAAAGTCCGCATTGGACAGAGAGATAGAGAGAGAGGGGGAAAAAACTAGTTTGCCACCGCTGTTTTGTTGCTGCTTATTTGTGACGTCGTGGTTCACTGTATATATGGCCGTTTCGCTGCTGCGGTTAAGCTAACGCTGCTGCCAGGCTAACGGCAGCAGCGGCCGGGTCAAATGTGACACGCCGCTGGACGCTGCGCCGAGAGCCGTTTTGACGGCGTGTCAGCGACCCGTTAGCTGTTGCTGCAACGGCAACAGCTGCCGCTGAAGCAGTGCGGGCGGAAACGGGACGGCTGTCGCCTGTTTTTTGCGGCATCGGGAAGAAGAAGCGCTCGGCTGTGGGAACAAGCTGTACTACAATACAGGTGTTGTGTCAAGATCCGGCTCCCCTGTTCCTCCTCAGTTGGACTTCTAAACGGTTTTTTACGGCGAAGTGGTGCATTCAAGTCAATTCGTACACTTCATTTTTTCCAAAGTAATAAAAATAATTGTTGCTTAATATGAGAAAAGTCATCACTTAATAAGGAAATGGTAGCACACTCCAAAATGAACAACATTGTTTTCATTTATTCATTTTCGAATAGTTTTGTTTTTCAGTGTCCTTGAATTGTCACTGACTCCTATGTAATGAATGATTGAAATAAAAGGCTGAAAATGAAACGCCATATGCTGGTTTTTTTTATGATGCATGCTTTTGTTTGCCGATATCCAGAAGGAAAGCAAAACAAGTCAAATGTTCAAACTTGAAAATCCCGCCTCATGGTTTTCATCCATTCAAAAGAGCAACAAAAAGAAGTTTTCTGTTGTTTTCTGATGGTTTTCCTGCTCTTGTCAGAGCAACAATACACCCATCCCAGTGCATTCCAGACCTTTACCTTCTTATTTACTCATTGAAAATGTTTTGTAGCTTTATTTGTCTCGCTTACGTGTCAAAAACAGACAATAATAATAATTGACCTCAAATAACCTGAAATGTACCACAAACGAGGTAATAAAAAAAAATATTTGAAATGAATTCAACCCACTTAAAAAGTCTGAGAAAATAAGTAGCTCCAACATGGTGAATACATAAAAGGCAACTTGTTGATATGGATTAAGTGGAAGTCATTTTAATCAAACTTTTTATTTATAACTTCATCAGTCATTCAAAGATACTGCAGTAGAATGATTTCAAAATAAAAATGTTTAGATTCAAATATAATTTAATAAAAACCAATGTATGTCAGTGAACTACTTGAAAGTTTCCAAATGTATGAATCATGAAGTGTTTATTAAGTCCCTGGTGGCATTGTGCACTAGCAAATGTTAAATAAATAAATTTCAAGTTATTTTAATACAAATGACCTAGCCTGAGTGGTGTATTTGAATGCACCACGAGGTCGGCCGTAAAAGCTGTCGAGAAGCGCAACTGCGTGTGACTCGGACAGAACTGGTAGAAACGCATTCCAGCGTGGAACTCAACTCGACACAACACCAGCTCCTTCCAAGGTGGTTTATACAGAAAAGAGAGCTCACTCCTCGGTGTGTTTTAAGTCTAACATATCACTGCTGCGGTTTAGTGTTAAGGTGGGGAGGGGGAATCTAAAATCAGTGCTTTTCTGTCTGATGAGCCTGCGTTGAAGGCAGGCGGTTTTATATTGCAACTGAAATAAGGCCAATTGCTGTGTGTTTAACTAGTGATGGTTTTCACAAATAAAGGTTTCAATGGTCATAAACTTTGCCTTGGAGAACTGTCATTACTGTAGAAGTTGAGTAGAACCTGACATCGGGGTTTATGTAAAAATAAATAAATAAATAAATAAAGATGCTGAGAAATATTTACACGCTTTTTGTTGTTGTTTTGTTTTTGTTTTTTTACAAGCAGCTAGTTTTAGAATGTGGTTGTATGTTGAAATAACATATATATATATATATATATATATATATATATATATATATATATATATATATATATATATATATATATATATATATATATATATATATATATATATATATATATATATATATATATATATATATATATATATACAATTTTACCATTTCTTTTCTACAGCACAATAGTCCGCCACCTTAAGATCATTTCTAAAAGTTTTTATAAACCAGTTGCAGCATTTTTGTTATTCATTTTTTGAAATACAAAACGGCGAGCAAAACCGTGTGTGTGGCACTTTAAGAGTCAAAAATGACGTTTTGTTAATCCCGCAGCAGCCTGTTCTGTTCCTGCGTTCTCGCGATAGCTTCCCCATCAGTGGCGGCTGTGTGGCCCCCTGTCTCAATCCGGACCGACTTGTTTCTGACGTTTGAATGAAATACACTGCGAATTACCTCCACTTTGGACCCAGGAAATAATGGCTTCAGCACTGGAGCAGTTTGTTAACAACGTGCGGCAGCTCTCCGCTCAAGGTAGGGCCGCTAAACTCACCGTAGTGGGAAGTATTAGCTAGTTAGCTAGCATATGCTACCCAATGCTGGCGATAGCCAGGCAGCAGAACTGCTCAGAGCTCTGCTTTTTGCTTTATCATGTAAACACACCACAAAAACGAGTTTATTGGGGCGCGAGATCCCGTAAACTTTCGGCATTGAGTTCGTCTGTTCCTCGCGACTCTTAAGACTCACGGAAACCCCGCGACCCTTAAAACTAGATGTCAAAATTCTACTTTTTGTTTTTGATCTAGCTAATAATTTCTGGGTATTGCCTACCGGTAGTCCCGCCTAGGCCTCCTCTGATTGGTACTTAAAGCAAAATCTGTAACGTAATTGGCTGAAAGTCGTATCTGTCAATCGCTTTTGCTTTACCTCCCTTGTGCAAGGCCTTGACAGGGCATCTGACCGGCCGACTGCTGTTTTTAATAACTCGCAACGGGTTGGCACAAAACAAGCACGTGATTGTCGTTGTTTTCTACTTTTATAAGTAATAACTCATCAGGAGGGAAAACATAGAAAGCGCAGCTATTTATTTATTTTTTTCTGGGAATGGAAAAAGTATTCATTTTATTTTAGCCCTTGAAGTAACACACAGTTAACGTTATTACATAAATACAGTATCCTTTAGTTTTGTTTTGGGATTTTTGGAAAAAAAATAGTGCCTTGAACTGTTCCACTTTTTGTCACGAACAGACATCAGTGTTTTATGGGGAATTGTTGCATCAGACAAGATGAAATATTGCAAAATGGAAAGAAAATATGTAGTTTTTCCAAAGGTATTTACCAAAACAAATCTGAAAAGTCAGATTCAACACTTTGCAATTAGAGCTGAATCTCCTGCTTTGCATTTACCAGCCAACTCAAGCTCTGCCACTTGTTCCTGATTCATTCTTTCCCGCTGCATTGCAATTAATATGCTTCTATTTACCATTAGAAATACAGTCTGCACAACATTTCCGATATTTCCACCTTAAAAGGTGGCAATATTTCTCCATTTGTTTTAACAAGTTAGTTGATATAATGCTTATATCAAGCATTATATCTTGATATAATGCTCTCCTGACTAAAGTTAAAGTTAACACTCTGATCAGAAGGTTCTATATACATTAGTCATCATAATCCAGAGTATGATTTGTTCTTTGGTTTTTCAGTTCAAACACAAAACCTGGGGGGAAATTGCATTTTATTTATTTTTTCCATTTATGTATTGGTATGTCATCTGGTTTTGGTGACAAAAAGAGTCTCTTAGGCAGTGAGCTTTCATGTTTGCTCACTGATATTCCCGAACAGGAACTAAAATTCAAGTAAAGTGTTTTTATTGGTTATGGGACTTCTGAAGGAAATTGGTGTCTCTGGATTTGAAAAGATGCTCATAGATTGTTTTTTTAAATAAAAGACGTTCCTCTGACCATTGCTGCAAGGCTGTGGTTGTAACGTGACAAAAGCGTGGAAAAGTTTAACCGGATCTAAGATGTTTTTTTTGTTTTGTTTTTGTTTTTTCTTTCCCAAGGCACTGTAGTTTTAGGAAGTTTAAATTTCTCCCTGTCAATCTCCCCTCCACTCCCAGGCCAGATGACTCAGCTGTGCGAGTTGATCAACAAGAGCGGGGAGCTGCTGGCCAAAAATCTGTCCCACCTGGACACGGTGCTGGGGGCGTTGGACATCCAGGAGCACTCCCTGGGCGTGCTGGCTGTGCTGTGAGTCAGGGTTTTCCTCTGTTTGCACTCGTTAGGCGCCGTTGTTCTTCTGTCTCGTCTGTTTTACGTTTTTCTGTCTGAGTGTCTGACTATTAGTTATTCTCTCTCCGGGACGTGGTAAAGCGGACGGCGTGTTTGCATGTTGTGGCAGCAACATGGTTGATTCTCTTCTTTAGAAAAGAAAGAAGCACGTGCTGAAGATTTTAATAAATTGAAAGATTATTGAAAAGTCAATTTATTTCAGAAGTTTGTCTAGAAATTAAACAAATTGTGCAGATTAATTCCACACTGATTCATTTGCGAAAGCCTTACTTTCTGTTAACTGTGATGATTTTTTGCTCATAGAGAACGAAAACCTGACATTTAGATTAGAATGTTACATTCTTTTATTCATCCCCATAAAAGAAACAAAACTTTTTTCATACAGAGATGTAGTTTTCATAAAAAGTATGTTTAAAACCTGCATAATGGTTATCAATTCTACTATATTACATATGACTAGGATTCTCAGCTGAACTTTGGTTTAGTTAATATTTAGCTGTTTCCAGTCAAGGCCTGTCATGTTAATTTCTCATGGTTGCGCTGGAAGACGAGAGCTGATCTCCTCCTTCTCTCATTTTCAGATTCGTGAAGTTCTCCATGCCAAACATCCCAGACTTTGAGACGCTCTTCTCCCAAGTTCAGCTCTTCATCAGTACCTGTAATGGGGAGCACATTAGATATGCAACAGACACTTGTAAGTAAACTCTTGACAATAAACAAATCTTGTTGACATCCCGTCTGTGGGCAACTAAATTCTTCCAGCAAGCTTAATAAATAAATGAAGGCAATTTTTGAAAACGGTAGAAAAAAAGTTGAATATCTACTGAGCCATTTATCAAAAAAAAAAACTGCTGTCTTTTTTATGAAATATTGATTATTATTTTCTCTCTCCTTGCAGTTGCTGGCCTCTGCCACCAATTGACAAACGCCCTAGTAGAGCGGAAACAGGTAAGAGCTTCAGCAGATCCGACCGAATCGGTTTGTTGTTTCAGACGACATAATTTCACAGACGCTCATCTCAGAGGAGAATTTGACCTTTTCTTTCTGTAAACATCGTCGACTCTATGGAGCCGTTCGGTGAGCCAGACGGTTACTTTTTGTAAACGTTTCGGCAAAATTTTTATATTGTTCTGCTTTGAGCTGAAAGGTTTCGGGGGAAAAAATGTTAATCTAGTTAATTAGTTAATTAGTTAATCTAGTCCCGAAATGGAAACATCACAGGTTACAGAGGATAAAGAACTGGGCTTACTGGTCCAAAGGCTTCATGTTTCCTTCTGCTGACAACTGATATTGTCATCACAATATTTACCAATATTATCGCTGTCGCAAGATTCTCTAATAACATGCAGCCCTCACCGGTAAGAATTAGAACAAAAAGTTCTCGTGATTCTTCAGTGATAATAATTATCAGTGCACCGATTATAGTTGTCAGGCCAATCACAATCTTTAAAAAGCCTTACTTGCTGATACCAATTTTAATTTTAA